TTAAATAAAAAATATTCTAATATTTGAGGGGTGGTTTCACCCCCTTAGAATTCGAGTTTCGAAAAATCCCTTCTTATCGAACCTCTACACCCTAAAGCTGTGCCTAAAGTCAATCCGTTTTCCAAAAATCAACTTTTTACGTCAAGCGCTATAAACAAGATCGTGATTAATCAATGACCAGATCTTTCGAAACACCCTGTATACTTTTTTAAAAAATCTTAAAATATGTGAAAATAACACGTGAACAAAATATACGTGTTTAAGCGTTTTTTCGGAAACTTGACCGTTTTTTAAGTAAAAAATATTATAATATTTGAGGGGTGGTTTCACCCCCTTGGAACTGGAATTTCGAAAAACCTTTTTTATCGAACCTCTACACCCTAGAATCAACCTGTATGTAAATTGAGCTTCTGACATTACGCTGGCTTGAGCAGGATCGTGATTAATCAGTGAGTCACTTAAGGATTTTATATATTAGTATAGATTCTGCCCATCTAGTCAGGGAAGATTTCGACATCCAAAAATGACAGAAAATATAATTTACCTCTGAATCATAATGACAGACAATAACTGTCATTGTCATGTATTCTCTCGTTGGGCATACTTTATATAATAAACTTACTAGTGATACTAGTTCAAAACTATACTTTTTATGTGTTATTTCGCCTGGGAATGATCGCATCCTGCAAAAAATAACTATTTTTGTAGCCTCCTTTCAATGGTTCCCAATAATATGTCTCTAATTCAAGTCCTGACGCAATGTCTGTCCAGATTTGTACACTTTGTATTAAACCAATTATGAAATAAGCAAGAAATAATACAAAACAAAGAAAGAAAAGTGCAAAAACTAAGAAAAATTCAAATCTGTCAAGAAAAAAGCCAAATCAAACTGACAAAGGTGTTTTAATATGGCTATCATAAAATTAGTATTTGGTTTCTTTTTTCGTCATGTATTATGGAATTTTATTAAAAGTCGTAATGGTTTTTTGATGTTAATAAATTTGTTGATGTTTGAATTTATTTTATATGAACCTATAATCGTTTTTAAGTACTTGATATAGATTTAATATTCTTTTTTTGTTTACAGCTGCTTGCAGTAGCATGCATTGGTCTTCATCACAAGAGCTCTACTGGCGATTGGAATATTGACACTCTATCTGCAGCGACATTTGGTGGTTTTGTAATCATTCTTATTGGAGGATTTGCAGGTAAATTCATAATTGGGGTTTGATTCTTTTTTGTGTAATTCTTGCACTTAGTTCATCTCCTAACTACTAGCCAATCGTGATGAGCTGCATAGATAGTATTGCACTTTTTTAATAGATTTATACTAGAGGCAGTTTCTACATAGAAAATCTTTAAATAAAGGGTATTAGAAAAAACAAATTTAATGCAAATGAAACTTAAAAAAACAATATTTGCCTGATCAATAAATTAAAACAATGATTTTGGACAAATATCGTTAACAAGTTAACATAAATATGATTTAAAAAGTTACTAATGTTAACTTTAGATTCCCTTAGCCCCCAAGTAAAACAATTAACCCCAGATAAACCACTTTTGTTATTACGTCATATACAGGGTGTTTCAAAACAAATGCGAAAAACTTCAGGGGGTGATTCCTTCTTCAAAATAAAGGGGAGTTTGCTTTATAAACGTTGGGTCAAAAGTCAACCATTAGGGAGATATCGCGGTACAAAGATGGCGGAAAAATAATGTTTTTATTTTTTATCTTGAAAACGAAAAGAGATAGACTAATGAAATTTTATGGAAGCATTACTGTTATGAACACACTCACTGGTAATTTTTTCACTTTTTTAAAATGAGTGGAAGGGGTTGAAATAAACTACCTCTATCATACTTGTTAACGAAATTTAAAGAAAAATCTTATCGAACACATGCAAAAAAAAATTATTTGGATAGTTTAGTTTGTTTAGAAACTTTTTTATCTCTTGTGTTTTTTTGATAAAACTCACCAATTTGAAATTAAAAAATAAAATGTAAAGCATTACATGTCAGGACAAAAAACATTTTTAGATTAAGAATCTAGTTATAATAACGATAATAATAATCATCTAGATAATAACCTATTGCAGTAGAGTAATGGTCAAATAAAATAATATTTGAAACATCCTAAAAAGTAACAGCGGCCGACTAGATTTTTTCCTAAAAAGATTACAACAGCCCACTAGATTCTTTATCAGAAATTGTTTTTTGTCCTGACATGTAATGCTTTACATTTTATTTTTTAATTTCAAATCGGTGAGTTTTATCAATAAAATACAAGAGATAAAAAAGTTTCTAAACAAACTAAACTATCCAAATTAATTTTTTTGCATATGTTTGATAAGATTTTTCTTTAAATTTCGTTAACAAGAATGATAGGGGTAGTTTATTTCAACCCCTTCCACTCATTTTAAAAAAGTGAAAAAAATACCAGAAAGGGTGTTTTCGTAACAGTAATGCTTCCATAAAATTTCATTAGTCTATCTCTTTTCGTATTCAAGATAAAAAATAAAAACATTATTTTTCCGCCATCTTTGTACCGCGATATCTCCCTAATGGTTGACTTTTGACCCAACATTTATGAAGCAAACTACCCTTTATTTTGAACAAGGAATCACCCCCTGAAGTTTTTCGCATTTGTTTTGAAACACCCTGTATATTGTGCTATTTTAATGTTGATTGATTCCAAAAATACGTACTAGTTCTATGTCTACGGAATATTGGGACAGCCTGTATAAGATGTCGCTCGACTTTCTAGAATTACCACTATCCATTTCTATTATTAGAACTCTCAAACTTCCTTCTCAGATGTTTTCGATTAGGCACTTTTCACATTTCCTTGTCTTATTTATATGATTTTTTATACAAAGAAACGAACATAATGAACTTATATTGTAAAATTTAAAATATCTAACGTTGGATTCTTTTTTTACAAGATACAGAGACTGTCCCAAATAAATAAAAAATATCAAAGTTGTATTTTTTTAAGTGGAACACCCTGTATATTATTACGTTTTTAGTTTCTACGATTAAAATAAAGGTAAATTTGATTAGGGTTTATTACACTTAAACTTTACCGTTTAGAAATATTTTCAATTTTGTGAAACTGCAGTAAAAATTTTAAGGCTTCATTTCTCCAAGGGTATCAAAGTTTTTAATACTAAATATTTACTGAAGTTTATTTATTGATCAGTTATAGTGTTACAATAATAAAAATGATACTACGTTATACAGAGTGTCTAAAAAATTATTTTAAATAATTTCTAGCTTTAAACGGCAATAACTTGTTTAATTTAAATGGAACGCCCTGTATATTTTAGGAGAATCAGATGCACAATTTAATTGTCTATCAAATTGTATTATATCATTTTACCTATCCCTTCATGTTTTCGTAGAAAATGCATTTTCTTATGATTTAGACCTCATTTATCAATATACCCATGGAATATTGACATTTTAGATTGTTTTTAAAGCAACAAATGTACAAAATGTACAGGCTATTTGCTTTTGTATGTAAAAAGAAAACTATTTAAATCTTTATAAAAGAGTATACCATTAATTAACTATACTACCCATTATTTCCGCCCAAATACTAATTAATTACATACGTAATTGTGGTCGTCAATAAATTATTCTAAATAAATGTGGATTTGAATCAGAAATCAATATAACAGTTCTGAAAATGAACGTCTCAGTTTTATGATCAAGCGGATTTTGATTTTGACAATTAAAAACTTGCTACTTTGATCACGTTAATAACGGTTTATTGTACTCATTATTCTGAAGTTCCGTATTTTACCATATTCTTGTAAAACATATCGTTTCTTTAAGTGTCTCATTCATATAAAATACTTATATCTAGATTATAATACACCGCGTGCATTTTTATTAGGTCATTTTGCTTTTCAGTACGTGTTGAGTACACAACAGTTTCGATAGTTTTTTTTAAACGAAGCTGTAATGGAGCTCATTATCCGACTTGTTACATAATATAAGATAAGGTGACCAACTATACTCATTTACTGAGTTTTGTACTCTTTTTTCGCAAACCGTACTCTTTTCAAATCCTGTACTCTGAAAGTACTCATTTGTATAATTTTATACTCATTTGTATGGAAAGAAGTTAAAAATTTGTATAAAATTTGCTATGAATATATCTAAGAATGGATAGTGAACTTTAGAGCATTAAATTGTTTCAAATGGACCCTTCTAAATAGTAAAATTGAATGGAAAGAAGTTTCTTCAACAGTCGAATTTGTAATGATGGAAGTAAAAGATAGTGTTATTAATGACAATTTTCTCTTTGAAGAGTAAATTTATATATAAATGGAGAAAAATTGAAGAAATGGAACGATAAGAAAATAGAACTTGACAAAAGATGGGTAGAAATCTTTCAGCATTTTAGAGTAGAACATATAATATTATCCCAAATGAAAGTTTAAAAGTGTTAATAGAAATTTCCTTATGTTGTCCAGGCACTAATGCTGCTGTTGAAAGGGTATTTTCAATGTGGAATAATTATTGGAGGAATGAGAAGTCGCAACTTTTTGATAAAACATTATTTGCCGTCTTAACAGTCAAATTTAATATGTAAAATGAAAGTTGTTCGGATGTGGCTACATTAATTATTAGACGAACATCCTCATTTAGCAAAAAAAATCCACCCCGAAGAAAAATATGTTTTTAAAAGAAAAGAAAATTTGTATCGTTTTTTCTTCTTTTTTTTCACCTATGAAATACTTGCAAAGTGTACTCTTTTTAAACAAAAAATAATTGGTCACCTTATATAAGAGAATAATCTGCCTAATGAGAGGATACTTGACAGTGACAAGCCTTGCCTGTCATTTAATTGACATGTAAAATGTATTTTCTGTCCTTTTTAGATGTCATCTGTTCCTTAGAAATCATCCCTACTTGCTCGTTAGACAGACTTTATCTAGGTAGATATGGAGTTTTCTATGTAAATGATCGGCAGGCTGTTAGTCGGCAGGCTGGTTATGAATAGGCTGTGGTCCATACATTTCAAACTAAATGTATTAAAATTTCGTTTTTGTATATTGTTTAAAATATTATCTACATAATTTAATTTGTTTCGCTCGTAAATATAATGGACCTATCTTCTGAAACGTCATTTTCTAAAATTAGAGTAAAAAAGTTTTCTGATACACAACAATAAAACAGTTTATCTAATACATTGAAAGAAATAAATCTGAACAAACAGTAAATTATTATAGGTTAAAGCTTCATTCCGAACCTCGAAATTAGTAGAATAAATAAGTGGTTTCCATTAGCGTAAGTTTCTTCCTCTAATTTCAATGTAAGCATTGAAAACGTCAAAATTAGGGGTAGGCAAAAAGTTAACAAAATATTAATTTTTTCCACTAATTATACTTTGATTACCATCGGTCAAGAGAAATTGTGGTTAGAAATAAAATGTTTATTGTTATACAGGGTGGTTCGAACTGTATTCCGGAAACTTCGGTAGCATATTCTGCAAATAAAAATAAGTAAAAAAGTTCGTATAAATGTAACATTGCGATAAAAAAAAGTAGTACAAGAATTAATAGTCCCAGATAGAACTCCTGGTCTATAAGGATATCGAGAAGTGGATATCGTCGTCACTATGAAAACAATACAATTATGTCACCTAACTTTTTAGGCGTTACCATGAATTTAGTAATAATTGGTAGGTATACGTGGCGAAATAAAAGTATAAAAAATTTACCTGCCTTTTAAAAATGGTCAAGTTTTCAAGTTTTAAAAATATTTTATTATAGATCAGCAGATTAAATCATATTTTGTTGTAGGTACTACTTTTTTTTATTGCAATGGTATGTCCTAAAATGCTTAGTTTCGAAGATACAGGGTGTAGATGTAGATCATTTTTATTTCGAGTTTTTTAACATGAAAAATTTGATTTTGATGACCATTTTGATAACTCTTACTTGTAGAGGGCGTCACCTACATATTTTTTACTGGTTTGAAGACTAATAACTTTCCGTCCGTACCAGTATAAAACAACAAAAATATGCATTTAAGACTTTTTCTACGTTAAAAGTCTCTTTCATGCATCCGTTGTCCGACGATACGTTGATACGATATTAATTTTATTGGCTGTATTTAAAGGCTTCGATTGGTTAACCGTTTCTAACCAACCGAAGTCTTTAAATTCATCCAATAACATTAATATCGTATCATCGTATCGTCGGACAACGGATGCATGAAAATCAAGCTTAATGGTTCTCGAGTTATTTGGAATCGAAATTATCAGTACCTGTCATCATTGATATAAATTAAACATGTTGACAAAATAGTTATTAGACTGAAATCATAAATTTGAAATATTTTTGTGCCAAAAGTTCAACAGATACAACAAAATGTATGATTAATTTAAAAAAAAATTCAGTCAAATAACTATTTACCCAACATGTTTATTTTTTGTCAATAATGACATATATTAACTATTTCTATTCTGAATATCTTGAGAACGGTTGCTCGTAGCGATTTCTACCAAGAGATATTTTTTACGCATAAAATCACGGAAATATGTATTTTTTTCACTCAGTAGATTTATACAGGTACGGACGAAAAGTTATTACTCTTCAAAACAGTTAAAACACATGTAGATGGCGCCCCCTACAGATAGGAGTCATATTGACATCAATATCAAATTTCTCATGTCAAAAAACTCCCAGACACGAATTTACATCCAAATATTGATGTTACTTCAGAAATCATTTTGGAAAAATCGATCTAAAAATGAAACTTTTACACCCTGTATCTCCGAAACTAAGTATTTTAGAACACACATTTATACGAACTTTTTTACTTACTTTAATCTGCAGAATATGCTGCCGAAGTTTCCGGAACATCCTGTATAAACTAATTATTAGTAATGGAAATATATTTATAGCAGTTTTTAGGTATATAATAAAATTATATAAGAGTTTCTTGCCTTGAACTGCTAATATAGAAATTAATTCCACGCTGTGTTCGACATAATGTGGATCAAACTGCTCTCACTACCGGTTTCGGGGCCCTACCCCATCATCAGGTGAGCATTTCATGGTGAGTATTTCCACAATTCCAGCATCAGGTGAGTATTTCCACAATTTGTCGAGCACAGCGCAGAGTATATAAACACGACTTGTCGTAAATGATGATGGGGTAGGGCCCCGAAACCGATAGTGAGAGCACGTTGATCCACATTATGTCGAACACAGCGGGGAATTAATTTCTATATTAGCAGTTCAAGGCAAGAAACTCTTATATAATTTTATTATATACCTAAAGACTGCAAGAAATTTATTTTCCATTATATAATTTGGGCTAGCCGAAAAAAGCCTTTATTTACTATCGATAGTTCTGCCTCGGTGGTACGAAAGTACTACCATTGCACGCAGGCCGCTATTTTTTTCGGACTGGATGCCATTTTTTTTCGATCATACGGTACTATCATAAAAAACTTCAACGTTAAAGTTAATACTTAATATCAATCCAAGAAGATATTTCATTTTCTTTATCTTGCAGGTTACCTCGTCAGTGCACCGATCAGCAAGAAAATCGACATTTTCTACAGTTTGGCAGGCTGCGCCCTCTTTGTAACAGCCGGCGCACTAAACATCAAACACTACGAAGACAGCTGGACTAAGGGAGAATGGAGGGACTACGGTTTAGCAAAAGGCTCCCTTGCCATCATCAACGGAGCCTTATTTTTGCTTGACGGTTTGATCACCTGGCGTGGAGACTTCTAAACTGCTTCATCTCATACTTCACCACATTTGTACAATGAAAATAAATATTTATATAAGTTACCCGCTGTAAGGAGGTTTGAAAAAAATACTTGTCTTTAATTCGCTTCCATACAATGTTGTATCTCTTTGAAAAGTAACAATCATGATAATAAAAGTAGTCAAGTGTTCTTTTTTAGGACCTCCTAATAATAAGGTGGGTGATCGAAAATGTAATACAAGTCACAGAAAGTTTAGAAAACATGTCTAACTATGTATATCAGGGAAGAACTTGACTTCAGTTGATATCCCAACAATATTATTTTAAAAACTACATATTTATATTTTGAACCCCGCGTTCTGTCAAGAAATGTATAGATAGACATAGTCAAGCGCAACTTGAAACGTTACTTCTGTGCTTACTGTGACGGTTTTTTTTCGAACATATGGTATACATTAAGTAGTGATATTTTTTTTCTGTACTATACAACGAAACTAAATACCATATTAATACTTTATTACAAATTTATTTAACAAAGTATTATCTAAAACCACTAATAATAAATAAAGGGTTCCAAATTATGTAGGTATCTACATTATTATAACAGTAATGTCTATATTTGTATGAAAATAAATTCAACGATCATGTGCAGTACAAAAAAAAATATTACTATTAACAGTAGTTTTAAGTGTTGCATTTTCACTAAAACCACACATTTTTATATGTAAACCTGAAAAAAGCCTAGTTTATAGTAACTTTTAGATCGATGTATTTTTTTAAAACCAACAAATGTTGTTGCAAGCTTTAAATAGACCAAAATGACTCTAATATAAAAACACTAAAATATACCTCATCTCTGTGCATTATATATAACGTAGATTTATGATATACAGTGCCTGTTGTGCTATATATATTTTTGTTATACATATATCATTTCTCTTTTTAAAAAAGAAAACAGCCTAAAATATATACATTCTATACACAAAAATTAATATTTTTAAAAAGATGTATTTTGTATTTATTGAAATCTCTCTATTGCTATATATGTGTTATTTAGGCTTTAATATGATATTTTTATAGATATCTAGACAATATGATATACTCTATTTAATAAACGTTTTTTATAACAATATATTATATTTTAGCACAGTGTTTTTTTAAATTCTTTTTGTAACAGTGTTCGTGTATTTTTGTCTAGAAAACTAAAAATAAAATTTGATGTATAGTCGTTGTTTTAGTAAAAATATAACTTGGAGTCCTTTTATTTGTGCCAGTGCCAAATTTCATTTAAATCGGACGATTTTTTGAATTGATTCATTGATGATGGGGTTTCATAGTGCACAAAACGTTGTAAAAATATCATGAAAAGATGGAGCTATTCGAGCCCCATCTACATTCCGAATTTCAACCCCCTAGCTCACTTAGGGTCCGAGTTACGACGCTCCGTTTTAATATCCGATCGTTACCACTTTTCCTCTCGCGTCTCGTGTGTCACGTCCTTCAATTTTTACTATCTTCTCAGCAGTGATTTTATAACGAGTTATAACTCATTATACAGTCTCAGGGCTTTAACAAATACCAGTATCTGGACGGCTCCACAGAGGCCAGCTCTCCATCAGCCGTACCAAAGTTCATGGCACGAACGGTCGTCGTCTCGGCGCACTCAGTGATAAGGTGTTCTGGTGTTTCCCCATTTTCCCCACAGAATCTGCATTCGCCGTTGTTTCTCAGCTTCAACCTACTGAGGTGTTTGATGAGGAGACAGAGTGTTCTGTTAGAAACCCCGTGACAATCCGAAGATTGTTTTTACTTAAATCAAGGAAAACCTTTGATTTTTCTCGGTCGTAAGTTCCGAGGAACTTTTTCGAGTGTCTTAGACCGTTGGAGTTGGAGGACACCCGTTTCAGGTTACGGATGGAGTCTTCCAGATACTTCAGTTCCGCTTTCAGTTGGTTCCCGCATGGAAAACAGAACGGTTCTATCTGGTCCAGTTAGCGGAGTGTTCGCTCCTTTTCTAGCTAGATCATTTGCTTTTTCATTGCCTTCTAACCCTTCGTGAGCAGGCACCCAGAGTAGGAGGACTTTCTTTTTTTTGCTTAATTTGTTGAGCTTCTCTAGGCATTCTTTGACCAACCGAATTGATGATTACTGAGTTGATCGCGTTTAGTGCTGCTTGACTATTGGATAAGATGGTTATTTCCCGTTCGATAGTTCCAGTTTTTGATAGTTCTGCCTGAAGCTTGCTGGGGTAGGTGCTCATTGGTGCGGAGTATTTAGTTTTCGGCCTAAATACTCCTATCCCTGGCCCTGCTTTAGTTTTGGAAGCATCAGTATACCACGTTATGGTATGGTCTATTACATGCTGAGCAAACGTTTCTTCTTTCCAATCCTTTTTATTACTCAATACTACAGTGAGGTGTTTCCCAAAGTTGTAAATTCTTGGTATGTCATCCACTGGGAGTTGGAGAAGTGATATATTCTTTTTGAGGGTGCTCCAAGCCCCTTACCTGAAAATTCTCCCAGTATCCCCGCTTTCCGTCTATGACCATTCTAATCATTGTCGTATTGACAGAACTACCGACGAAAATGTGCAGTGGAGTTAGGTCTAAAATGACCTTCACTGCTGCTGTTGGACATGTTCTCATGGCACCTGTGATGCAGATACATGCCAGTCTCTGTACTTTGCAGATGTTCTGCCTTGCTGTACGTTGCTCTAGTTTTGTGTTCGAATAAGCAACTGCTCCATAAAGCCTTTGTGGCTTTGCTGATAATGTTCTTAATATGCCTGTTCCAGAGAAGTTTACTGTCCAGAGTTATTCCCATATATTTCACTTCCTGTGATGGCAGTATTTCCTTTCCATCTAGATGGATTCTTTAAAGATTTTCAAACTTCGTTTTCTGGTGAATGAAATTTTATCTGAGTTGATGCTCAGCCCGACAGTCCTGCACCATCTCTCAGCTGGTGTGGATAATATCACACAAGGTACCTTCATGTTTCCACCGTGCAATCATGACTGTCATCTGCATACCCTATGCAGTGTATTCCCGCTAGAGTTAATTCTTCTAGTAGTTCATCCACTACCAAGCTCCACAGTAGGGGGGAGGTCACTTCACCTTGTAGAGTTCCTTGCGTTGTTTTAACAACTACAGTTTTGGTACCTATCTCAGCCTCTGCTGTTCGTATTAAGAGCATTTCCCAAAACCAGCGAATTATCGTACTGTTCACCCCTCCTGTTTCCAGAGATCGCTTGACCACCTTGTGAGGTATATTGTCAAACGTCCCTGCAATGTCCAAGAAGGCACCAAGCGCTGTTTTTTTGCTATCCAGCCTGTATTAGCTCGGTTAACTGGTACATAGCAGTTTCTGTGGAACTGCCCGCTCTATATACATGCTGACTATCGTGCAGTGGTTTAACCTTTAGATGATTTACTCTAATATGGTTGTCGACTACTTTCTCCATCGTTTTTAATATGAACGATGTGAGAGAATGATATATGCATATAGACATAAATATGCCTAAATGATTTAGGGTTAGCCCAGTCGGTTTTGCCTATTTTGGGTATGAAGATTACTTTCGCTCTTCTCCAGATGGTTGGTATATATCGCATCGCTAAGCTGCTTCTTGTAATGTTTAATAAATGGTGTGTAACTATCTTCTTACTCTTTTTTAGAAGGGCAGGAAAAATCCCATCTAACTCCTACATCGCTGTTTTATAAGGCTGAAAGGTGTCAATAGCCTATTTCAGTTTTTCTTCTGTTATTACTAGCTTGGCCATCTTCCAGTCTTCCCTGCGAGGATTGTGGGGTTCCTATGGTGTAGCTTCCGTCGGGATTCTTAGTGCCATGTTGGGGATGGCTTCAATATAGACGATGGCTTGTTGGGAATCTTCAATATAGACGAAAGAATATTGTGGTTCCTGTTAACTAAAATCAAAGCAATCAAAACACGATTGTCGAGACAGTTGCCTAACTTAAGAGTATGCGAATGTCATATGCAAATGCCAGCACCAAGTGCACTGCTGTCAGACAAAGATTGACAGACACAACTGTCACTCTGTACCGTTGGACATACTTATTTAGGGTCTTTAGGTTATTAAGCTTTCTTTACTTTGATTTGTCCATATCTTATATGTAAGATCTGAATTTATAGATTGCTCAGTGACCCATCATTAATACAGTTTATAGTTGTTGCAGGTAATGAATAAAAAAACAATTTTATAAGAAAAAAATATTTAATATTTTTTCAAATTCGTTGTATTTACATCTTAAACGTACTAATGGACAATATATTTACACTCTGTGTTTACATCACCTGTGTAACTTACATAATTTATTATAAATAATTTAGATACAATTGAATTAACTAGTTTTTAGCGTAAAGTTGCGCTTTCCTCTTCCGACTAGCCAGCATGTCGTAGAAGGGGTTGTGACTTATGCTTTGCGTCAGTCGGTGGATCCATTCTCGCCTTTCTTCGTCACTGCTCGCCGACATCCGGTAAACCGTGTGTTTCCCCTCGACAACTTTGCCCTCTGAATCAGTCTTACACGCCTGAAACATGAAAAAAGAAAAAAAGTAGAGACGGGTTGTTATTTATACCATCCTGGACACTTCATCAGGGTGGTCTGTATTTTAATGCGTGCGACAGAGAGCCCAAATAAAAAGCACCATACAGTGTTGCCGGTTTTTACGATTGTAGCAATGAAAGAATACAAGGACTAGTAACGCCCATATACGGGCTGCAGCAGAATTTGTGACCTTAGACGCCATTTTTTTGGACATAACGAATGAGTCATCAGCTGGCCATCAGCAACAATTTTATCGATTTTTAATAGTTGGTTGTTTTAGTGAACTCTGTATAAACTGTATTATAACGGTAAATTGTTCAGCTTTCAAGTGTAAAAGGCGCAATGATAAGAAAGAGCCAGGAGTTACGTTTTATAGGGAAATAAACAGTCCACTACACCTTTTTAGCGTTTTTTTTATTGAATTCGATCATTATTTTTCTGATATTATATGTACTTGATATGTGCTATACGTCGATACTAGTTTTGTACCTTTTGTTACCATTTTAATACGTTTTTTTTCGTAATTAATTAGTATGATACCACCAGATTTGAAACATGAAAAAAGAAAAAAAGAGGCGTAGTGAAAATATTTTTCAAAAATATAAATATCGCTTCAAGCGGCTATGTTAAGAAAAACATGTGCCACGGTACTGTTTGGAAGAATGGTCACAGTTTGGTCTCGAGTGCTATTTGTATTCTTTAGTCATTGGTTTGTAGGAAAATGTGTGTAGAAAAAAAGTATTTTAAAAACTTTCATGTATACTACTGAAATGAAGATAATATATTTAAACTAAATAAAATCTATTACAGCTGTAGTAAAATGAGTAACTAATGGTGAAAAATAAGTTCCAACTCTAGATGCAACATATTGCGTAAACGCCGACTTGTGCAGTTTGAAAGTTTGATGCAAAATCAGGCAATACCGCATAGAAGAAATTTATCAATCCAACTTCTATCTATTTTTGATATATTTGATTTTCCATTAAGCTGCCGACTTCACTGTCTTAAACACGCTCTACACTATTCGGAGAATTCTACGAAATAGGTTAAGGTCGCGTTTCGTCGCCTAATTTTGGTGCATTTCGGTTTATTTCCAGTTGTCTTGACCCACTTCGGTTTGTCTCGACCTCCTTTCGATTCTTAAAAGCGACTGAAAACTACTCGAGAAATTGCGCAGAAGGGCGTGGAAGGATTTTTTTTGCGTTTCCTGTTGTCTTGTTCAATTTCGTTTCGTTTCGAACTGTTTCCAAAAGGTAGTGGTATGTGGACCCGAGGCAAAGCACTTTTTTTCATAAATCTCAGTGGAATAAGTAAACCTAGACGTTTCTTAAATATCCGTTGTTACGATGATATTTCGTTAATTACATCCCGTTTTATGTTGATATATAGGTTGTTAATTTGTTTATTACTCGCGGCAAGAGCTTTATGGTTAAAATATGGCAACCTCGGCCATATTCGCGAGCGCTCGTCGAGAGACGACGCGACATAGCGCGACGGGACGAGTCGGCAGCTAGCTTAGTACTCATTTGGAATGTAGGCAGTCTTGCCATTCTGTTCCCCAATAAGTAACCGTCCAGTTAACAATCTGTATATTCCACAAGATTAATATTTTCACTTAGTCTGCAGGAATATAATTACGATATTTTTATTATTGAATTTTATTATAATGAATTAGTAAGTATATAAAATTGTATACGTTATGTTTGTTTACGCGGCCTTAATTGATTAATATAACAGTAGTATTTCTTGACAAGTAACACTGGCAATATCATCATTATATCGACCTGATTGGGAAAATTATTGATTGACCCGATGTCAATAAAAGTATGATCCACGGACATTTTTAAAAAGCAATGTTCTCTTATTGTTTTAAAACTGTAAAAGATACTTTTATATACAGGGTGTCTCAGAAATAAGTGCAAATATTTTAACTGGTGGTATAGTTCAACCTCAGAAACACGCCTATGTGGTTTTTTCACAAAAATTTTTTTTTTGAAAATTCCAAATTTTCTTAGTTTTTAGTTAAAAAACATAATTTCTTGACAATATGGCAACATCGTTATTAGATTAAATTTACAAGAAAGAAAATCCAGAAAAGATCCAGTGGTTCTCAAAATTTTAGCAAAAAATATTTTTTTTGGAAATTTTCAAAGTAAAATAACTCCGTTATTTTGGACTTATTTGAAAAACAATAAAGAGAAAATATGTTTCTTTTATCGAGAACTACCACCCCTTAAAATATCTGCACTTATTTCTGGGACACCCTGTATAATATAATAACATGGTTCGATATAAATCCATTCCAAAAAATGAGATATAATTAGACGACTTTCTAGCCTAGAATATTCAAAGAAACCAGTCTTATTCAAGTATTTCAATTTGCTCGGATAATGTCGTTAAATCGGTATGGGCAACAGACTGTCCATTTTCCGCGATCAAATGCCGCCTTCGCTAAAACAAGCCTTAACTCACCTTAATAAAGTCCGCTCCGCCGCTGGCGTACAGCTCGAAGCAGAACTGTTTCTGTCTGTCCTGGCACTCCCGGATTGATATGTTCTCCAGCGGTATAATACCTCTGGGCTCCTTATCCGTCGTGTACTCGAAGTAGTACAGGCAGTTGTCATTGAGGATGAACCACCGTCGCTTCCAGCTCTTGTAGCGACCGCCCTGCTTCCAAAGCCAGCCCTCCTTGTCCGGGTTGAAGAAGGTGTGCATCAGATCGTTGCCGTCGTCTTCGGGGATTTTGAACGGCTCGGCCTTGATGCTCTCATATAAACTCTGTAAGAATGGAACGTCTATTAACCATATATATGTATAAAAGGTAGATTAAGAGTGTGTTCCGTTAATATAACAACAGATAAACTAATTGTAAAACATTTTCCGATTCAAAATTCATCACAGAACTTCAATACGCTGATGACTGCTCTCTAGTTGCAAATACGTTACAAAAATTACAAGAAATGTTGAACACATATACCTGGGCATACGAGGCTTTGGGCCTTAAGCTAAACATCGGCAAAACCAAAATCATGTGCACACCCCCGGAAGATCACAACAATGCTATAAAAATCGGAGAACTATTGGAATATGTGGCGGAATTCAATTACCTCGGCAGTTTGATTTCGGAAAGGGCCAATATTGACTCTGAAATTCAGTACAGGATTAGCAGCGCATCAAGAGCATTCATGACTTGAGTATACAAAAAAGTAGTGATGGGTTGTTATTTAACTATCTGTTATTTTATAACAATTATTTAGAAATAACATAACGCAACCGTTACTACTTCTAAAAAATAACAGATATAAAATAACGACACATAGAGATCGGCCGCTCGTGAAACGAAAAGCGAAGTCGGCGCTCAGCACCGCCACGAAATTCTATGCTGCTCGAAGCAATTCCAAAAAACAACTAGTATGGATGGAAAACATGTTATTTCGTCAACCATCGATACAGGCGGCGAGACAACGGACAACGGAGTGGGGAATGCGCTACGGTGAATGTAGCTGCTTCGGTCGATGCCGTCGACGGTGGTATTGGGCTTCCCACAAGAGCTTAAAAATAATAGGATATAAAAAGAAGCAGGTTTTTGAAACAGTTGCGGGCATAACGCCTGGCGGTCGAGATAACAGGAGTGGGAAAGGAACGCTGCTGCATCGGTCGATTGTCGATGGAGCCTCGCAACGGGTTGGAGAAGCAGTCATTTTAGATACGTTGTTTTTCAACCTGTTACGAGCATAACAGGGTGGCGGTCGAGATAATCGGAGTGGGAAAGGAACGCTGCTGCATCGGTCGATTGTCGATGGAAGTTCGAAACAGGTTGGAGAATAACGCATCAGTTGTTTTAGATATATTGTTTTTCAACCTGTTACGAGCATAACGGGCGGAGGTCGAGATATTATGGCGCTGTATGTTTCAGTACGTTATTAAGTTTCAATATTTAGGTATTTATTTATTCTGAAAAATTTTCAGAATAATATTTTAGATTTTTTAAAAATGTATACAGGGTGTTTTGAAAAATCTGGCCATTGAAATAATGATTAATCACGATCCTGCTTAAAGCCCTTGACGTAAAAAGCTGATTTTTGGAAAACGGATTGACTTTAGGGTGTAGAGGTTCGATAAGAAGGGATTTTTCGAAACTGGAATTCTAAGGGGGTGAAACCACCCTCAAATATTCAAATATTTTTTATTTAAAAACCGGTGAGTTTTTTGGAAAAACTCTTAAACACGTATATTTTATTTCGTTGTGTTACATACTTTAAGATTTTTTAAAAATATATACAGGGTGTTTCATAAAATATGACCATTGAGTAATCACGATTCTGCTTAAACTGCTTGACGTTTAAAGCTGATTTTTGGCAAACGGATTTACTGTGGGGCTGAGATTCGATAAGGAGGGGTTTCTCGAATCTCAAATTCCAAGAGGGTGAAAACGCGCCTCAAATATTACAATAATTGTTATTTAAAAAACGGTTAGACTTTCGGGAAAACACTTTCTTGGACACGCATAATTTATTTTGTTTTTTTACATATTTTGAAATTTTTTAAAAAATCATACAGGGTGTTCCAAAAAGCTGAGTAATTGATTAACTACGATACTGCTTAAACTGCTCGACGTTTAAAGCTTATTTTTGGCAAATGTGAGAAAATTTTATCCAGTTTGTATGTTAATAGAAATTCTTGCTTTGCTTTATCATCACCATTACAAATTATTAATTCAACGCGAACGAAGACGCAGGTACACGCTAGTTTAAGTGTAAAATTAATTCGAACTCTAGTGTGTAGTTGGTTTACTTATGAAGAATATACTACACATTTTTTTATATTGCTATTTTTTGACCGCAAATGGTAAAACTATAACTAAGAGCTTCTCGCCCGTCGAGAGAGATGGACCCTGTACACTGCTACGCAATTCAGGATCTACGCGGATCGAGGGGCATGGAATGTATAGGTATAGACGAGTGGCGGAATTTTGGCTTTTTTTATATCGCAATTTGTAAACAGCGCTTATTTGTAAACAACCACCGTTTTTAGAGAGGTATTTTAGATAACAATCGATATTTAGAAATGTTTTGACACCCTGGAAATACTACCACCGAGCACGTCATTGTTGCAACTTGCAACTGCGTTAATACGCCTGGCGGTGACCGCCTCATACTCTTTCAGATATTTAGCAGTAAAATAAAGAAACCTGTTATTTTAAGCTGTTTTTTATAAATAACTATAACAGTTTCAACTGTTATCTAAAAATAACAGTTTTGCCCATCACTATCAGCGAGTAATGGTAGTATGTATGTAGTATCAGTGGCGTAGCAAGGCGGGGGCGGTGGGGGCGGGTCGCCCCGGGCGGCGGCCTTCCAAGTACCTACGGGGCGACAAAAAATTGTTATAAAGGCGGCGGACTGATTCTGTAGGGGCGGCAAACCTCTCTCTTAGAGGCTCTTCGCCCTGGGCGCACCTAACCCACGCTACGCCATTGTGTAGTATGTATGTAAAACATTTTCCGATGCGCGTCTTCAATCACATCAAAATTGACACTAAAGCCTATAAACCTGACTAAATGAAAATTTGGCAAAAATGTTTAAATTTGTGGTATAATTTAAGATACAGAGCAGCTCTTCATTTTACTTTATAGGGTAAATGATTGTAACAGCTATTTTATTTAGATTAGAGCTGCAAAAATTAGTTTAAACCGAATTTTATTAGCGCCATGTTGGTCACATTGCGCCGTGTTCAGCAACGTTATCGTTATTATTTGACAACAATCATAATACCAGTCATTATTTTGTATAATATCGTGCTGTTGTTGAATCTTTGTGAGTAATTTAAAAAAAAGTAAATCTTAATTTTACTTTTTTTTTTTTTTAGTTGCGGCATTTATTTATTTATTTCCTGACACTGTCCTTCGTTTTAACATTTTAGTTTTGTATAACGAGTTCGACTGTAGTCGAACATTATTCTTTTTAGAACCTCTTTTAGTGCGAAGTGTACAAGATAGCTTAATAGCCGTAAAAAACTCATCGCAACTTTATTAGACTATTTTGAACCGGAAAGCAGTAGTAATGGCCCTTTATGTCCCTTAAGTGTTGTTGAGAAGGTGAGTTTTGTCGATGCAAATAATAACTGTTTATACTTACAGCTAGGAGTTCCCTCGGGAGATCTTGCCCCTGGTTTATCCCCCTGTTCATGTTCACGAACTGTTCGATGGTGGGTTTCTCTTTCACGCTGGGATTGTGCAGACTAGTGTTCAACATAATGATGGCGAACGAAAGCACGTAGCAGGTATCGGAGTTTTCAAAAACGTTGTTCTCGCCTTGACAGTCGCAGTATCGTTTCGCGAAACATTCCATCATCCTGTCGATCTTCTGAGCTTCGCCGGGCAGTCGAAAACTCCATAAAAATTGTCTGCAACATAAAAAATAACAGATATTTACAACAGTCCGGCATATTAACTTTTACAGTATGAGTGAGATATAGTGGCGATGGCGTGGCTAGATAGAAGACTAGCCTTTATTGGTCTCAACCAAAGACATCTAATTAAAGGGAGACAAAACAATTTACATTTATCGCGATCACGAACCGTGTTCGAGTTCCAAATGTTATTATTGTTATTAATGTTTTTTGGGTACCTATAAAAACGTTAAACTAAATATTTGTATAGGTATATAACTTTAATTAATATACGTAGATTGTGCCTCAGGATTATACCCTTGAAACTATTTTTAGTTTTCTAATTAAATTATATTAAGGAAATTACAATGATAACTAGCGGCATCGCTGTGGATTCATCTTTACTACGAAATTGTCGAAATCTGTAGGAATTACGCTGACATTTGTCGTTTTCATTTGTTTTCATTCAGCTTATATTTGACAGCGCGCGGTTGTGAATTTTCTGCGGTAGTTGAAAGTTTTTGTAGCTTTTGAACAACTTTCTAATAATTATTAGTGTTTATTGCAAAGAAAACTATTTAAAGTACTTTTTAACTATCTACCTGTTAACTGTTCGCCAGTGCATAGTTTGTAAAAAGGTGGACTATTCCATGATACAAAGAATACAAGGTATGATATTGCGCAGGTTGGTCACTACGTCACAGGTGATAAACGGCACCATTGGTCGGCAAGCTCTGCGCGCCAATTTCAAATTGTCAAACAGAATGTGTCATCTGTGAAATTTGATTATGTCAAAATGTGAAAATAATTTTTCAAATGTCAAGCTCGATGATTTGACATAACTTTTGGGGTTATGTCCTAATTCTTCCCTATTTTAGGTCGTTTTTTATTAGTGGCAATTGAACAATATGGATATTTTTTTGTATGGCGTATGACGTCACAGGTGGTATGCGCAAACTTAACAAAATTGGAGCCGCTATCGATCATACCTTGTTTTCTTTGTACCATGGGACTATTCTAACTCGGAATTGATATTTCGACAGTAAGTGTCATTACGTTTTTTTACCTTTAGCCATGCTTACAGTAGCGTATTTAGATACTTTTAGTTATAAGTAGATTATTACAAAAATACGTATATTTTCTTATTTGTTGGCGCTTTCGATTGTGAAATAAAATTAGAGTTACCATCAGTTAGACCTCAGGCAAAACTAGTTATAATGAAAAATTGGTCTGGGACAATCCCAATCAATTTTTGATAAAATTCATCAATTTTTGATAAAAAAACATCACGCCACCGATAGAGCCAAATGACAGAAAGATAGACGAAACTCAACAGTGTTGTCATATTTATGTACGCATCTCTTTTTAACTCTCATAAAAGTGTCAAACCATGTATGATTCTGAAAAATTGAGTTTTATGAATGGAGTGTTCTGTCTACCCATTTAGATGTCTTTGGTCTCAACCTTGGAGCACCAAGTTGGCGGCTCAAGTTGGCGAGTCATCGAGGAAGGAGGGCCACGGTCCGGTCCACAATAAGCATTGACCTCAAATTCAAGAAGGGAATAGAGAAGAGAGAGATATATCTGTTATAGAACCGGGACAACACCGGTATCAGTTCTAAGGAGAGACCAAGTTAAAGAGGTGGAGAAAATGGAGATAGATTATCCAGCCTCCAGCTCAATGGTACCTCAGCCGAAGACAAGCTTCTCGACTGTGAAGGGCACGGAGAGCTAAACCCTAGCCGTGGAAGGGTGTATACTGCACACCCTCGTAGGAGGTAGATATCCACTCCTAGGAGGATGAACAGTTGTTCCAGTGTGAAACCAAACCTACAACAGGAAGATCGCCATGTATGATGAGTTATAGATTTTATTATGAGTTGTAACTTAAGAAAGGGGGACACAATAAATCCTTAAGGTCGCGACGATTAATCCCCCTTCCACTCATCTACATTCTATATGCCTCTAATTAAGTGTCTATTACGCTGTACTGTTTGGGTCGCTCTCAGGGGTCGGATAAAGCGGGTCTGTGTTGTATAAATATTATATTTCAGAAATCTGCCTACGGCTTGCCCGATCCTGTCGTGTTAAGCCACACCCAGAATTCCAAACATACGTGCTTTGATTAAGGCTTGATTAAGATTTGCAGAGCTTCAGCATTTGCCATAAAATAGCGAGCAATTTGTTACAAAACCATATAAATTATATATCACTGTAATCACAAAACTTCAATCTACTTCCGTACAGTAACGGAATTTTAAATTATGTCTTTATTTTCGAGAAAATTTAGTCCAAACATAAGGAATATTTTGTTGATGTTTAACCATCAAAATCTTAAAAATAAAAAAGTTGTCTAAAAATGTGCTACAATATGGATATAGTATTAATCCTTTATCTTTAATTTCCTACTTCATTTGTGTAAAAATACCTAACAAGTTTTACATAAAACGTTAAATGCCGAACGCTTATTTTGCTACTATGTCGGACCAGTGAAATGGACTCATAAGAGGGAAAAATAATAGTTCTTACCTTAAAGCTTGGACTAGAATTAAATCTTTGAAATCGTGGAGATCCACGAACGACTGCAGAACTTTTTCGTTGAAGTCGTTTTTCTCGCCCAGGTAATCCCCGATGGCTGTTTTGTTGAGGCCTTCGCCTTTGTGAAGGAACTGCGCCACACTTTCTGGGGTGTTCTAAAATGATAAAAAAAGTTAGTTATTCTGATATACCAAACTTTGATCGTGTCATCCCGCCTTTTTAGGACCACCATCGTAGAAAATTAAAAAAAGTAGCTTTTAACCTGTAGAATAATCTCATTAATTATTTTAAAATTCTTTATTTTCCTTTTTTGTATACCTGCAATTTCTCGAAAACTACACGTAGCATTAAAAAAGCAAGTATACTGGTAGAATTGGGGCATCTAATATACTTAAAATCAGTTCTAGTTTTGGCGGCACAGTCATTGTAGACCTGTGTTATTTTTTCATTACGATTGTTGATACAAAAATTGATATTTCTATTACTAAACAACCTTTCTCTCTCTGACATTTTCGATATTTTGTCGTATGACATGTCAAAATTTAATTTTTTGCTACAGGACTATTTTTATAACTATACTCTGTTTTTTTTCTCAGGTAAGATTTCGACAGACGATGACAGAAGAAAAGCAGATGACGTCCCATACCAATCTATTTATTTTACTAAAAAAAGTTTCTAATAATTTTTAAGTTATCTATGGATGGGTTTAAATATAAATCCGTCATGCGTCGTGTCTTGTTGTTTTTAACCAGTTTTATTGGTTTATTTAAAAAATGACAGATCGTATTTCAATTTTATTGGTTTGACGGAACGATGAACGACAAACGGACGCCGATGCGTATGAACTCGCCTTTAGATTTTTTTCATTTTTGACGCTTGTCAAAGTCTTGCCAAATTATAGGTTAGAATGTTGTGTCAACTTTTGTTAAATACCCTGCGTTTTGAAAGATGATGCATGTTGATTCGTATTATTACGTGTGTTTTGTGTCTTTTGAAGTCAAGTGTAGGAAAAATCGAGTGAAAATTAACTGTAGACCCGGAGCACAGTTTATGGTTTATACTCGCTGCCCAGGCAGAAAGTTTTATACACCAATGAAGTTGCCATCGATAAAGTTTGTATACCATTTCGTCGTAGATAAGTGCATCTCGTATATGGTAGAAGGATCAAACTAAACACATACTAAAAACTGGAGTAGCTGTAAAATATCGACATCACACGATAGGTAAATAATGGATTTTAGTACTGCAGAAAAATAATGTCAAAAGGTACTGGTTTAAAAAAATTAAGATTAAAGTTACTTAATCAACCTTTAAGGTATAAAATTTGGTAGGTGTTATTATTAATAAAATAGTTTGTTTTATTTACCCATGTTGTTTTATTTATTCCTGTGGAATATTACAAATTTGTATTTGTACATAAGTTATATTGATAAATATAATCATAAATGCGGGTAGTTTCATAAAGAACTTCTACTTTGAAATTAAAATGACAGACACATCTATCACTGTCAAGGATCTTCTCGTTGGACAGACTATAGCTCATCCGCGTAACTACGTTTGCCTCACCATAAACTGAAGTGAGAGCCTTTCCCTGTCTACAGATGACTGATTGATCGAGTGACCTCTACATTCTTGTTTACATTATGTAGCGCAATTCAATTACCTCGGCAATTTGATTTCGGAAAAGGCCAATATCGACTCTGAAATTCAGCACAGGATTAGCTGCGCCTCTAGAGCATTCTGGAAATTAAAAGACAGAGTTTTCTACAATCATGACTTGAGGAATCAATAATAATCCCCACCATGTTATATGGAAGCGAAACCTGAGTGCCATACCGCCGGCTAATGTGAATGCATTGAACAAGTTGCCTTAGACAACTGTTAAGAATCAAATGGTACCACCATGTCTCAAATGTATCGGTCCCTGAAAAAGTTAGCTGCGAGAACGCTGAAGCCATGATTACTAAATCCCGCTTAAGATGGGTTGGTCACGTATGCAGGATGCAAGAAAACCGTCTACCGAAATCTCTTCTTTACGGTGAGCTTGTAGACGGTAAGAGCAAATCGGATGAACAAATCAAAAGGTACAAGGATATTTTCCATGAAAACTTCAAGGGGACAAGCCTGCAGAATCAGTGGGAGGACGCAGCGCAAAATAGAACGCAATGGAGAAGAATTATAAACTCAGTTAACAACGACAAACAAAAAGCAAAGAGGCAACAAAGTAATCAGATTTTTGAATGTCCGGAGTGCGGAAGAGAGATAACATCACGTGTCGGGCTTTCAACAGCAGAAAAGCTCATGAAAGAAAACTCCCTGCGTAACCATCTTTTGATGCGTGTCAAATACTCGTCAGCGAGTAATGGCAGTAAGTAAGTACGTTACTAATTTACAGTGGACATCTATTATTACCAATAAACTATAAGTGTACGTGATATGAGCTGTCAATTGCGTAAGATGGCGGAGTTCCAAACTTAATTTTCTAAAAATTAATTTTCTGTAAAAAAATTTTCGATATTTTTTAGATTAAAAAAATCCCATGTCATGAATCTTTATCTGCGGTATTTGGTCATGTATAATAACACATGTTTATCTCTCCTAACCAACCGGAAATTGATATCAAATCACATTTTGCCTCTGCTTTTACTGAATTTCGATCTCGTTTCATTTACATTGTTTAGAATTAATTAGAATAATTTAAATGCTCATATCAACAAATTGATAGCATAATATAATATATGTAAATAATGAATTAATTTTACAGTATATTAAACATGCAATATATTAGGATTTATAGGAAACTAAATTTTAGTATGTTTTTGTTATAATTTTCGTCTAATTATAAACACCGATTAAGCACAGTCAGAAAGACTGTCAAAGCTATAGCTTATAGTCTTGTAGTACCTATAGGCTTGGTGCATTTTCCGCCGGTGCTGCCACCATCGAAGAATATCGTAAACAACTAGTATATCCAAATACACGAGTTTAAAAAGCGAGTATACGAAAAATTTAATAAAAAATTATTCTAGAAGTGTTAAGAAGTATAATTTGTGAAAATTCAAAAAATAAAAACAAAAAATTAAATATTTTGATATTTTCAGAAGGTCTAACTTGTATTATAATTTATTATTTCAGCTAAAAAAAAATTTTAGATGAGTTCAACTAGGGTAGCGAGCATAGTTTTAATCACCGGTTTCGCTAGTGGGGTCATAATCGGGGCTATTCCGGCTATAATGAAATTTTTTAAAGGTACATAATTATAATTTTAGACGATGCTTGCGATGACTGATAACTTGAGAAGACGCTGCATTCATCTGAAGGTGGTCCAGATGAATGCAGCGTTGTCAAGAGCGAAAAATACTCCAAAATTTAAGGATTTTCGTAATATTTATATAAAAAAATGTATAATCAAATAATATTTATTTTTGATTCATTGACAGATAAGAAAATTATTTACCTGCAATAATCCTTTTTCTATCAGGTACTCGATTCCTTTTTTAGGGTCCATATTGAACTTTTTCCGTCCTATCGACATCATTTTACTTTTGTTGCTGTTCTTCCCGTCCTCTCCAGAATCCAGGGATTCCATCTCGGATACGACCTCGCACAGATCATCTTTAAGTTGCTAGAAAGAGAAGAAAACATAATTACATAAAAAAATACACATTAAAATATACAAAATAGCATAGCAATAGAGTATAGCTTTAAATACAGATATTAAGAAAGGGGTATAATCCTATCCATTTATTCACGCATTAAAGACGGACAGTTCTGTTTGACGTTTCAATTGACAGATTTGAATTTGAATTGAAATTATGCGATTTTTTTTGCTTTTTTGACCTTATTTTGTTATTATATGTTATTTATTATTTATTCTATAACTGATTTCGTTTAGAGGTAGTAAATCTAGAACTGAAATTAACAGTGACATTTATTAAGAGTATTTACGTTCAATGTAATCAACCTAATTCATAAAATAAAGCGCTCTATACATGATTCATGAGTATAAAAATCTTTATTGGCTTAATTTCTTGCATAATTCAAAGAGAAGATTTTTATTATAGGAGCTATATTCTAAACTATTTCTTGATAATGATCCTGTTAATTGTAACATCGACATAAAGTTAACACCCACGTCGTTAGTTTAGATCGAAATACATAAAACAAACTTTAATATATACAGGGGGTCGATGTTTAAACGAAACTTCGTATAGACCATCAGAATACCGGGTACGTCTAAAAAGTGGCTTACCTCTATAACTTTTTTATTTTTTTCAGATAAAACGAGATTTGGTATGTTAGTATATGACATAAATTAGGATTGATTGACACATTCAATAGTTTTCGGTGACTTTCACCGGAAATGACTATAACTTTTGAATTTTAAATGACACCCTCAGTATTTTTTTTACTTTATTCGATAGAATGACATACCATATGGTATGTCAACTTTTGACATTTTCGCATATGGCTTATTTGAAACCTGGGGTTCATAACGACAATTTGACTCGAAATACCAAGTGTGTGGTATCAAATTATTCGTAAAAAAATGCTCTTTTCAAATATGCTAATGAGTCACCCTCGTTCTATTTGAAAGAATTGAGATATGATTAAAAATACGATTTGGGCATTTTTTAACCGGCCAGGGTAAGACACTAAAAACATTAGATGGTCAAATCTATTTTTCCAAGGCTCCTTGATTAAAAATTAGTGTTTTTAACACAGCCATGGCATTCTAGATTGAAATTTAAAATACAATTTGTTTTTGAGCGAATATGTCAAAAGTGTGTGTGTTGCCATATGATACGTCATTCAATTCAGACTGTCATTTTCTATCGAATAAAGTAAAAAAATATCTAGGGTGCCATTTAAAAATCAAAAGTTGTAGTTATTTCCGGTGAAACAGGGAGTGACCGAAAACAATTTAATACGTCAATCAATCCTAATTTATGTCATAATAATCTCATTTTTTTATCTGAAAAAATAAAAAAGTTATAGGGGTGAGCCGCTTTTGAGACGCACGGCGCGCCCGGTATAGGTAGTGTTTCGTCCTCTTCAGTAGGGCCAACTTGTTGAGGGTCTTTTCGGGTGTGGAATTAATGTACACACTGTTGTTTTTAGTATAACTTAACTTTAATTATGATGAACTAATTACGATAGTTGCCCTGAGGGAAACTGTAAAAAAATGTGTTGAAGAGTAAAAAGAGAGTTCTGAGCAAAAGAGGCTTGAAGAGCAAAAGAGTGTGAAGTGTGTAGTAACTGAAAGAACAAAAGAGAGTAAGGGCCCTGTCTTGCTATAGTATTTAAGCTACGAAAATGCCAGAGGCGTACAGTACAATTATTTATATATCCTTAAACCTAATATTCAGAGCAGTGGATGACACTGCCCTAAACTTACATTGTTTAGATAGACAGACGTCTACGACAGCTATTATCTGACAAACGAATCTAAAACAGCGGAAGGAATTCGGACAAAAAAAGTCGATGTTATCACGTTTAATTATAGAAAAGCAAAGTTGCTCGATATTACCTATAAATTGAATATATTTTAGTTCATTTCAGCATACATAATTATATATATGCTAATATGTTGACGTAGTTCTTATTGTAATAATGTATATTTATCTAATTAACTGATTTCGTTCATTCTGCCTATTATAAAAGGTAAAGTATTTCCTTAAGATAACGTCCGCTTAGGGTAAGCTGGCAACGCTGACAAAATTCATCATGGCATCCCGGATTCAACCAGTCTGATTGGTCGAGATTCTCGCACGTCTTGTTGCCATTACCCCCAACTTTATGCCCCTCTCTAGGAATAGTAGAAACAGTCACTACTATTGAAAAATCCAGTGGCGTTGTTATTGTATTGTGTTTTATATCTTTAACTTGATTTGTGTTTATTGTAATTAGTACACGCGTTTTAACAAATATTACTATATTTGGCAAATGACTAAACAAAATGTAGGTACATTTAAAGTAAAATAATATTATAAACTTTACTGGAAAATATTATACAAATTCCTGATATATTTTTATGAAACACCGCACGCTCGTGGATATTTTATGAATGAAATCGGTCATGATTTTAGAAAATTGCGATCCCCTTGCCGTTGCCCCGTTGTTTCAGATCCGTTTGTCAGACTGTATATAAATTTATGATCAAAATTCCCAATGGTCAATTTGAATTATATTGTAGGGCCGTTTATGACCTCAAAGGTATGAAGGTTTTTGTGATGGGACATTCCTAAACTAATACTACAAATTAAAATGAGGACGGGATTATAACAGTAGTCATGAACGAGATTGAGATCAAGCCAAGATCAAGACCCAGCATCCAAGACTCTTGCGGTCTTACGTTTTTTTTTCGCATATAATTTTATTTACATCCCATTTTTCATAGATTAACGATAAAATATAAAAAAAATAACGAAATTATTATTTACTTACTCCTTCCCTAAAAAAATAATAAAAACTGGTTTCTTCGAAACTATTCCCATCGAATATGTGATTTGTGGTAGCCGTCAACAATATGCCAAATTCTTATAAAAGCTATTTTGTCGAAACATACAACATACCGAATATTGCCGTATTAGTTAAAGAGTTCATCTAAATAAATTAAAAATCAACAAGTTTGTGTAGATTGTTTACAGCCTTCATTCATAAATAACTATAATTTTATTGTAGTGTTGCTCATTAAAAAGTCAGAAGAAACTGGATCATCCTGTAGATACTTTTCTTTGAAGTTAGATGTATAAACATCGATTGGCAAGAGATTAATTTCTGTTTAAATCTCCAGCGATTGAGAGAACCTAAAGCTAATTTAAATAGTAACGTAAGTTTGCTATATAATCTGATTAAATAAATATTCTATTTACTAAATGAAAAACCGTTAGATCTATTTCATCAAAGATAAGTAAATATCCAAGTACATATATAAATAATGTATAATATATGATATAAAAATTATATTAACATTAATTTTGAAAATTTACACAACGTTTCGATCAGATGTATCCCTAACCGTTGTCAAGTATAAACTAATAACTAAATTTTAAATCTGCTGAGCTTATAATAGCCCAGTCAAATTAGAAAAATCGGTGGAAAAAAATCCCACAGTTTTGAAAATGGTTTTAAATGATTTCTCTAGACTTGGGCTGATATGTGTCAAAAGTCCCCGAAGATAGACAATGAGCTCGAGGAGAGGGGAAGGGTTAAATGTCACTTTTATGACTCTTTTTAGCTTATATCTCAGAAAATATGACGCTTACGAAAAAAATGCCTATATAGAAAATTGAAGCTCAGAAAATTCTCAACAAAATTGGTTCAATGCATTTTTCATAGGTCTAACCTTTTAAGAGTTACAGGGTTGACAAAATTAATACTATTTTTCATATTGTATTTTCGCATTTAAAATCCTATTAAAGTCTAAATTTAACCTTTCATATTAATAATGGTACTATTAAGGGGTCCTTATATTATCTTGCAAGTCTTCATTGCATCGTGATTTTTTGTCTTCCGTTGGAGCGCACTAGGCTCATAAGACTTAACCAATAACTGCAAGTTAAAGATTAATGCATGCCTGCTTTACGGTAAAAAAAGTATACCACACAGCATGTAGCGCAGCTGCAAATATTGTAGAAAGTATCGAAAACCAAGAATCATGGTTTCTGGTCGATGATTGCTCAGTTGCTTCGAGTTGAAGATTTCTATCCCCGCCTGCAGTAGATTTTTCTAATGTTAAAGTAACACGAAGCTTTTGAGGCATTAGCATTTGAAGTCTGGTTCCCTGAGGTTGTATATTGCGATGCTATTCTACATGATTTCTTTCTGTAGATACCCAGTTAACGTAAGTGTAATATTTACGTGTCTGCACTACCCAATCCATTTCGCCAATATAGTATCAGTCTTTCCTCACATAATTTCAAAGAATCTTAGAAGCGCATATGAAAGTGTGATTTCTAAAACTTCTCAACCTACAATATTGAATATAATAATGATATCCACATACATAACATGAGTCCCCATATTTTAAATTATCTATATTATTCCACATTATCCGTTTTAGACAAGTAATTTGTATTCAATAAAAAAAGTGATATTAATTTACTATTTATAATAATGCATGTATCGCTTACTTTTTTAATTTAGTAGGTCCATCAAATTCTTGTTTAATTTTGTACAATATCGTATAATATATTATGAAATTTAAATTACAAGAAATCTACGTTATTAAAAATAAAGTCCATAACAGAAGACGGTTGATATGTCGAACACCTGTAGCAAAATCTCATGTCCTGGTTTGCTATTTATTTTTATTGTTATGAGATATAGTTTAAATGTGTTGATGTTGGTTAAATATATTTTAAATTATTATAAAATTCTGCATCTCTCATAGCAAATATTATTTTCGTTTTAATTGATGCTCACAGCTAGAATTTTTTTGCATTACAGCCGGTGCCTTTCAAAGCCTACTTATTTAAAGCGGGCGAATTTTATATACTCTATATCTCAAAGAGGAATCGAGCAAAATATCAAGTGTGTTATATTTTTGGAAAGGTAATTTTAAATGTTTTTTCAATAAATTAAAAATATACAGGGTGTCCCATATAAAAAATCAATTTTTCT